GATATAATATTTTAAATCAGCAATACTGAAAGCAAAGAAATATGCATATGAACACTGAACAGAATGACGTACTTTTGCTACTCAAATACAGACGGGATGAACAAAAATTATGGGTCAAACAACCATGACAAAGCTGGAAGCCAACTGTTACCGATGAGATGAGAAGGATAAAGGATAAAGCACCATATCTTGTATCCATATGCAAGGTATTTCACCAATAGTAGCATATGACAAAAATCAATGGTGAAAGATTAGACATCAATACCTTAATATCTCTCCAGATTTATCCTGGGCCTATGCGCGGAAGCTCCCGCTAGAGGCTTGCCGTGTCTCGCCCTCTATGTCCTAGCCTCGTCGAATCTCGCTTTGTATGTCCCTTCATCGTCCCGTTGTAGCTAGTTATCTCTCTTTCTATCTATTCCCGCCTCGCCGGCCAACTCCTCGTTAGGACAAGTTCGGAGAATCAGAAGGAGCAGCCGCGAGAGCAACCTCTTTCATGGAGCTAACCAACTCCTCTTTTTTGTGGGTTGCGCCCGTCGGGAACGAAGGAGTAGGGAGTGGTGGTGGTCCTTGAATTTCATCATCGCGTGGGGCGCCACAACAGGGGAGAGGATGAGGAGCGAACGTCGGAAGCAATGGTCATCTCTTTCATCAACATCAAAGAAAGATGTCTCCTAAAGAATCTAGAGTTTTCTTGATTTCATCGAGTGAGATTGACCTTCACAACCAAACGACACCGTTTTCTTCAAAGATAAAACGACGATGAGCGATGCGCACAACGGAAAAAATAATGAATGTGTCAAATAATTATAAATAAAGCACAAAATCAGAACATGGAATGAGCAATAAACTGAAAAGGTTTAGGAAAGTTACAGGCTTACAGCTAATGCACATGAAAGAAGGTAGAACCGTCAAACATGGCGTACAAATATACGAACATGATAAAATAACACTAACCTGAAGCAAAATTTTAAGACGTTCTAGATGAGCTACAGTGGTCCTTGACCTGAAATAAAAGACAACATTATTTTGCATCTGTAAATTAATAGCTAAACCTACAAGTATCATTAGGATTAACAAGGTTTTCGATCAATATAACGTAAAAAGTGCACAACGCTAAGTATAGCTCTTAATGAAATTCTTAATTCAAACTAATATGAACCAGATTTCTAAGAAATTATTCGTACCATTCATTGTCTGCCCATCTCTTGATAAACTCGTCATCAATCTGCATACATGTACACAATCAAATTCAAAAATCCTAAAGAAAATAAATTTATGTAAAAATCAGTTTAAGGCAAAGACGTAAGATATCTTGCCTTCGAAGCCGAACACCATTACCTTCGAAGAAGAACACCACACCAATAGCACAAAAAAACAATCACGACTGAGGATCAAACAATCTAGATCTTAAATCGAGACCGAAAATGCCGAAATAACTGACACACAAAAAAAAATTCGAAATTTTTTAAACAAACTACATAAATTGAAGGCGGCGATGTAAGGCCTAATTCCATCGC